TGATGATTACTCATGGCAGACTACACAGTGGAAAGTGGGAGATAATGGGGTCATTCTGGGGACTTTACAAATGTAACATAGAATGCAAATCAACACCCCAAGCAATAAATGCTAATGATAACACAGGAGGAGGACACTCATCATTTTATATATCTTTTTCACTCAAGTAATAAATGTAAGCAGTTATAGTACCAAGAGAATTTCAACTAAGAAATAAACTCAATCATAAAAATATACTCTCAATAGAGTGAAGGCCTGGGGCAGTGTAGGGCGTGCAGGAGACTAAAAGAGGTCAATGGGGGAGGGGGGGAACGTACGTAATACTTTCAACAATAGAGATTTAAACAAAAAATTCTCTCTCTCTCAGGGTTCAAACCCTTAAAGGATCACCTGACCTATTTTTATGTTTCTCTGAAAATGCTTGGGGGAAAAAGTAAACATCGCTAATTCTCAATGCTGATGAATACTATATTAAATTCATATACTACTTTACACATTTTAAGTACTGTCATATGCTACGAAGTTACTAATAATCAGATTAGAAACAAATAAGAAGAAATTAGGGGAGGGGGGGAGGTGGAGCAGGAAGAGACAAAAGGATTTCTTTGGAATATGAGGTTAAAACTTACTAGGAAAGCCCTGGCCAGTTTGGCTCAGTGGATAGTCGGCCTGCAGACTGAAGGGTCCCGGGTTTGATTCCGGTCAAGGGTACATGCCTGGGTCGCAGGTTCAGACCCCACTAGGGGACATGTAGGAGGCAGCTGATCCATGATTCTCTCTCATCAATGATGTTTCCCTCTCTCTCCCTCTCTGAAATCAATAAAAAGATTTTGAAAAAACAAAAGAAAGAAAACTTACTAGGAAAGCAGCAACTGTCCATGCAGTACAATGCATCAGTCACACTATCAATGACATCACACATACCACCTCTAGGCCAGTATCACCAACTCTGAGCTATGTTATTTAAGCAAAATTTTTGTGGGTCCCCCACCTCCGAGCTTATCTCAATACCTGGGGGAAAACACCTACTCTGCAGAAGTGAGGAGATATTAGAATACACACACTTTTTTAAAAAATATATATATTTTATTGATTTTACACAGAGAGGAATTGAGAGGGACAGAGAGTTAGAAACATCGATGAGAAACATCGACCAGCTGCCTCTTGCACACCCCCCACTGGGGATGTGCCCGCAACCAAAGTACATGCCCTTGACCAGAATCAAACCCGGGACCTTTCAGTCCGCAGGCCGACGCTCTATCCACTGAGCCACACCGGTCCCAGCTACACACACTTTCACACTTTTAAAATGCTTAGCAAGGTGCAGGAAAACAGTGAGGTCTCGAATTTCTTCCCTTTGAAACACAAATCTCTGAAAGTGTAAAATCTGAACAGCATATCTATTGAAAAGAAATGTATTATAATAGATCCTTCCTTGAACAATCACACGCACCCTGTGTTATGGCATCTGGGTTTGATTTATGCATCCCTAAATGAGATTTCCCCAGACAAAATCAATATAAATGACACCCAGAATAACATATAAAACACCTTCAAGTCACATGATAAGTAAATGTGGCATATTCTTGTCTAAAACCATGGTAATACAGGAGTGCGCTGTAGCTGGTCTGTTCTCATTACTGCGTTACCTATTAGATTCACGGGAAAATGAGATTTACCACAGCTGGATGACAGAATTAGACCGCAATGTTGTAAATAAAAGAACACTTTGAATCTTATTATTTCCTCTCCTGCCAAAAGAGTGGAAATTCATCAAGGCCACAATTGGGAAGAAAAACATGATAATAAAATGGTTGCTTCCCACCCCACCCATACTCTTGCCCCACCCCGAACTGATTTCTCCTCGAATCTATCAGACTGGGAAGGAAGAATACAAAGGTTGGAAGATGAGAAATGAATAGCAGCAAGAGAAATGAATCTTTCATATGTTCTCCCTTTCAAACCAAGTAAAACTCTACCTGTCTGGCTCTGTGCTGAATGCACCACATCAACTCTTATTCTACCAACGATCCTATGTGGTAGGTATTGGCGTCACCACCGCCCCCACCCCCACCCCCTTCACAGATGATGCAACTAAGGCTTGGAAAGATTGAGAAACTTGTCCAAGGTTACACAGCTAGTAAGTGGCAGAGAGCCAAGAGTCCTGATTCCAAAATCCATACTATTTACCCACCACTACACTACTTATTACTGTAGTATAGATGAAAGGGTATTTATTGGGTTCCAGACTCAGCTTCACCCCTCAGGCAAATCACTTAACCTTGCTGAGCAGTTTGTCATCTGCAAATGAGAACAAAGACAGATGCCCAGCTTTCTCTAAGGCATCAAAGCGATGCTGAAAGAGTTAATGAGTGTGCAAATATGCCGTAAAAACTATAGGGCACTATGTAAAAGATTTTGTTAATTTGAGCCTCGGTTCCATATTATCTTTATCCTTCCAAGTGGTTTACTGACTGAAAAGTAAGTTTAACAATAGTTAAATCATTTTTAACATACCAAGCAAAAATCTAGTAAAAAAAAAAAAATCAACCTTAGATATTCTGGAAAGGCCAAACTATAGAGACAGTAGAAATATTAGTGGTTGCCAGTTACGGGAGAAGGGAGGGGACACACAGAGGACAATGAAACTACTCTGTATGATACTGTAATGGTGGAATAATGTGTCAAAACTCAGAATGTACACCACCAGCTAGTGCTCAATTTTTCTGTAAACCTAAAACTGCTAAAAAAAAAAAAATTGAGTCTAGCCAAAACCGGTTTGGTTCAGTGGACAGAGCTTTAGCCTTCGGACTAGGGGGTCACAGGTTTTATTCCGGTCAAGGGCACATGCCCAAGTTGTGGGCACGATCTCCAGTGGGTGGTGTGCTGGAAGCAGCTGATGATTCCCTCTCATCATTAATGTTTCTATCTCTCTCCTTCTCCCCCTTCCTCTCTGAAATTAATAAAAACATACCAAAAAATTCTACCTAAGGATTTAGGAAGTAATATGAATGAGCCTGGTGTTCTAAAACATGCCTGTAATACTTGACAATGTACATCCCATCTTTTCAGACCAATGTTGTCCAAAAGAACTGGAAATGTACTATTAATATTAACTTTAGAAGAAAATAGTTACTGCAAGAGACCATTCATCAAATGGATGTAGTTTTGAAACGCCACAATTATCCTTGCACAGTGGTCGGCAAACTCGTCAACAGAGCGGCAAACCTCGGCTCGAGAGCCGCAGTTTGCCGACCACTGTCCTAGCAGATCAAGAGTTACTACATAGATGGTTACAACACCAGGAACCAATAAAGCCCATCTCCAATTCTTTCTCACTTTAAGTCCCATAATGTAACCAAAGCAGGTCACCTTTCTTTTTTGGTTAATAAAATATATTTTTTTATTCAGAAAAAAAAATTTTTCCCCCCAACCATACACAGGAGGGGTATGAGTAGGGGGAGATAGCTTCCATCCAGCCCTGGCCCCTAGCCTATGTGGTTTTGGCAGCAATAAGAGAAGGGATATAGGATAATGGCCAAAAAAATTAAAATGGTATATATGGGTCACTTTTCTTTTAATTCCTTCAATATTTTCAAAATAACCCAATTAGTTAAATGTCACTTCTGTTTCTTGAAAAACAGGGCAGAGGTCAAGTTAGAATTACAAATATTTTTTAAGTCAGTAACCTGAGAAAATAAAGGGTCATAAGGAATTAACTTAAGAGTGACTTTTGGCCGAAACCGGTTTGGCTCAGTGGATAGAGCGTCGGCCTGCGGATCAGAAAGTCCCAGGTTCAATTCCGGTCAAGGGCATGTACCTTGGTTGTGGGCACATCCCCAATAGGAGGTGTGCAGGAGGCAGCTGGTCGATGTTTCTCTCTCATCGCCGTTTCTAACTTTCTATCCCTCTCTCTTCCTCTCTGTAAAAAATTAATAAAATATATTTTTTTAAAAAAGAGTGACTTTTGAAGACATGATAGTTACTAATTTTTTTAATTAAAATTCAAAAACTGTAAAATAAAATAAAATTCAAAAACTAATATTTAACCATGTATTTCAATTTCATTTCATAGTCAAATAAGAAATAAAAAGGAAAAAAGATGCCCAGAAAAGCATGAGTAGCCCTAGCTGCTTTGGCTCAGTGGATTACCTGCGGACTGAAGGGTCCCAGGTTCAATTCCGATCAAGGGCACAGGCCTGGGTTGCAGGCTCGATCCCCAGTTAGGAGGCTTACAGGAGGCAGCTGATCAGTGATTTTCTCTCTTCCTCTCTGAAATCAAAAAAGTATATGTTTAAAAAAGAAAAAAAGAAAAAAAGCATGATCAAAGAAGAAAGGTACATGAAATAAACGAAAATGAGGCAGTGCAGACACAAATGACTACTCATATCCAGCTGTGAACCTGAGGGCTGTCCCAGGTTTAACCTGGTGGCTTAAAATGCTAGCTGATTAAGCCTCAGTTCCTAAGCCAGACTTTCTGTCCTTACCCCAGTGGCACAAAAGGGAACTTATGTCCTCAATTGCAGTGGCTTTTTATCAGTGTCCTCCCCTGGGACACCTATGAAATCAAACACTGAGATTGGCTCTCCACCCTCAGGGAGAAAGTGAAGTGTCCAAAGTGACAGCGTTCAATCCCTGGAGTACACTCGGTTCGCAGCTTCTTGTTCAGTCCTGCAAGTACTGGATCTTTCTTTGAGAGTACAAAGAGAGGGAGACAAAGAGAGGTAATTGAGAAGTAGTAAAACCCCCATCCAGAGATGTGAAAACACCCGACTTGAGAAAAAGGTCTCCGAAAGCTCCTTCTTGCCACACCACACCTTCTTTCTCCCTCAAGTTCATGAATCACACTTGAAAAACATTGTTTCACAATTTCACACAGGAGGGGTTTTGAAGAACACTCAAATGTATCATTAAGCACGGCTAACTCTCCAACCACACGGCTTTGAACTGTGCAGGTCCACTTATACGAGGATTTTTTTCTTTTCTTTTTCAATAAATACCTGCACTGCTTTCCATGCCGGGTTGGGAGTCCATGGATGCAGAGGGCCGACTGTATGCATGGATCTTCGCCATTTTATCTAGGGGACGTGAGCATCCGCAGGGTTTGGGGATCTGCGGAGTCCTGGAATCAAGCCCCCTCGATACCGAGGGACAGCTGTGCGGTTAAGTGTTGGGGTCACACGTTACGCGGGGGAAGGTGCCCCTAGCCCCACCCCCACAATGCTTAAGGTTCGACTGTGGCATTAGATAGTCCTGAGTGACCAAGCCGGACTTCCAATGTTTTTCGAGATGTTTCTAACTGCAAGAAAAGACAGAGGGGGTTTCCACCTTGCCAGCCCCTCTCCCTGCAGTTCTCCCTTCCTGCGCCCTGAACGCTGTTTGCCACCCGTTGTGCAATCGTTTTTGGAACTCCACCCACTGACTCGAGAACAAGTGGAATTCTCCCACTCCGAAGGTCTCCGTTCTCCCGTAGCCAGGGAGACATTGAAAACTCCTTGACGTGAGTTAAGGCAGGCGAGAAGAACGGGCCGGCCTGTTCCCCAGATCCAGAGACCCACGGACGGGTGCCAGAAGGCACTCAAGTTCACGTTCCCCAAAAAGGAAATACACTTTAGAAATAAAGGAAAGAAGGCGAAAGAAAAAAATATAGCAAAGGGGGGGGGGGGGAGATCAGGAAGACCAGTTATCACGCAACGCTGCTCCCAAGTCTGCGGGACCCGGGTGCCCCCGGCATCGCCTCCCGATCGCCGGGCCCACGTGTGCCCATGCCCGCGGGGCCCAGGGGCGACCCCGGAGCCCGAGTCCCAAGACCACTGCCGCCGCCCGCGGAGGGTTGGGGGGCGCAGGGGGGCGGGGAACGGGGGCGCCCGTGGACCCGGCTCCCGCGCGGTTATCCTGCTGCGCAACAGCCTCGTCCGCGCCTCCCGGACGCGCCCCGCACTTGCCCCGCCAGAGGGGGGCGAGCTGTGGCCCCGGGCAGCGCCCCCCCCGAGGGCGGCACCCCGCGCGGGGAGCGAGGGGGACCCGCGGAGGGCCCGCGGGGGAGCGCACCTGGCGCCGCGGCCCCGAGGCGCCGGCCGCACGTGGCTGTCACACCTGGCGCCCCCGCCTCCGGCCCGGCCCCTTCCACCGGCTGCACCCCGGCCCTCCCCCGTCACCTCCGCCGTGCGCCCCCAATCTCAACCTCCGCCCCCTCCCGTCCCACCCGTCTCGGTAACATCCTCTTCCCCCACCCCGACACCTGCTCCCACAGTCGTCACCCCCGGGAGGAGAGAGCCGGATGTCCGTCCCGGGGCTAACCGTAACCGGGGGAGCGTGAAGAGGTGGACCCCGAAAAAGCGAGCCCGAGCACTGCCCCCGGCTCAGAACAACGCGGCTGACCCCGGACTGACCTTCTGCCTCGGGCTGCGTCGCCGTCCGCCCCGACCGGCCTCAGTCGCCTCCTCAGCGCCGCCGCCTCTTCCCCGCGCTGCCTCTTCTACCCGCGTCGCCATGAGGTGACGGCAGCAGCGAAACTAGCGGCTCGACAAGGGACACGGAACCTCGTAGGGCCTCGCGCTCCGCCCCTGGACCTCCAGGCCAATCGCCGTGCGCCGTGTGCCCCACGTGACCGGAGGGGGTTGGCCCCCGAGGGGACGGAGCGGAATGGGGGTGGGGAGCGTGGAGGCAGGGGCTGGGCTTCTGCAGGGCCGAAGGGCGAACGCAGGCCTAGTGAGTCTGCGCGGATGGAGAATAGGACTCTGATGCGGACTACAAGACCCAGCAGGCTACGCGGCTACTGCTCGCAAGCTCCGATCGGGATTGGGTCGTCATGCAGCGTCCCAAAACGAGGAAGTAGCCACCGTGCTGCGCGTGCAGCCTGCTGGGAATTGTAGTTTTCTGGGGGGCGATGTACCGGTACCGGAAAGTTCTCTTTATTATCCTGCAGGAAAAGTTTAGAAATATCCTTGGGTTTGGGAGGGAGCGGGAGCGGGGACACAATGTTGTGTTTTTGTTTTTGTTGCTCTTCTTCGGAAGTAAGCCTGACTGATGTTAGGTTAAGGGGAAATACTTCGTGACTTTCAAGGCAGGAGAGACATAATGGCTTTCAGAATTTGAGGTTGTGGCTAGGACACCTGCCCGAGCCTGGCTGCTCCACCAGAGCTCTCAGAACCGAGTACCTGTCCTGAGCTGCTGCCGGGTGGGGACTGCGTCCTAGTCACCTTGGCTAACCAGCCCTGGCTTTCAGTTTTGTTCTCTGCACTTAGTTGGCATTGAGTACATGTTGAATGTATTCTTCTTCTGTTACTGGATTTTTAAAATAAACTCGGATTGCTGAATCTATTTATACATATATTTATATATATGATTTATATATATGATTGGGGCGGAGTGGAGTTTCTTCAGGAATACTACGTATTTCCATCTGATGGAACCAGATCTCCAATAACGGAGCTTCTGAAAGTCACAGACCGTCATAAAATCCTGGCAGTCTCAAAGAATTCATTAAAATTTGTGTAAATACCATGCCATTTGTTATTAGAGTAGAATGCAAAACAGTGGTAGCAGACGCCAAAAATTTAATGACATGCATTAGAATTAATTTCAATATTGGGGAAACTCCAGCTATTAATTTTAATTATTTCTGTTAATCTGAGGGAGTAGCATTATTTTATTTAAAGGGCAGAATACCTCAATCCAGTTTGGATGTCAAGCCTAAAGCAATAGCCGAAACCGGTTTGGCGCAGTGGATAGAGCGTCAGCCTGCGGACTGAAAGGTCCCAGGTTTGATTCCAGTCAAGGGCATGTACCTTGGTTGTAGGCACATCCCCAGTAGGTGGTGTGCAGGAGGCAGCTGATAAATGTTTATCTCTAGTCGATGTTTCTATCTATCCCTCTCTCTTCCTCTCTGTAAAAAATCAATAGAATTTTTTTTTAAAGAAGAAGAAGACTAAAGCAATAGATAATGAACCCATACCCAGGCTCTATATAAAGCTGATGGCCTCAGATACCATGCTTCATCTTAAAGGCAAAGTCCCAGCAAGATGCAGAATCTAGTATCAGCAATGCAGCTTCTAGCTTCTAACGTGTCCAGGGAATTGAGTGTCAAAATGCACTGTAGTTAAATTGTGCTACAATAGAACACTATACAGTTCCTAAAAATGATAAATACATTTTAAATTGACCTAGAAAATATGTATAGCATAATGAGCTTTTAAAAATCCCATTTATATGGAGTTGCCTGTGTGGGTATAAAGAGATGTTTTAGAAGTATATTGACCAAAATGTTAACAGTGTTTCCCCCTGGGTGGTGAAATTTGGGAGTATTTTTACTTCATGATTTTCTCTATTGTTTGAGTATAACTATGTATGGAACAACAAAAAAATAGTTATCTTTATTAAGAAAACAAAAGAACTCTGCAAGTGACCTCAAGTCTTATGATAAATGAAAAATATTTAATTATATTTATACACATTTCTATTTCAAAAGGGGTTTGAGTGGCTTTTAAATATATACACAACATGCCATTACTTATGTGTGTGGTGTGTACATATATAGATATATAAGAGCATGTCATTCATTCAGTGGGGGCTGGGGGGGGAGAGAGAGAGAAAAGAAAGTGGAAGTGAAAGTAGGATAGGGAAAATAAGATGAAGTCATGGGTGAATCGAATGTATAAAGCACATGCCTTGAGGTCTTGTACACAGCTGGAGGTAAACCCAATTTTTATTTTGAGCTTCTCGACAGCTGAGAAAAGAGGAAAACACTATTTTCCAGATGATTCACAACATCACAAAATAAAAACAAACTGGCCAAAACCGGTTTGGCTCAGTGGATAGAGCACATGTGTCAAACACAAGGCCCGCGGGCCAAATCCGTCCAGCCAGGCCTTGCAATGTGGCCCGCACCACGCTGTCATCACTGCACTCTGCTGCGTTTCCATCACAGTGACAGTTTATGACTGTTCAGTAAACCATTCGGCCCGCGATTTAGGCTGGATTTTAGATTTTGGCCCCTTCTCTGATTGAGTTTGACACCCCTAGGATAGAGCGTCCCGCCTGCGGACTCAAGGGTCCCAGATTCGATTCCGGTCAAGGGCATGTACCTTGGTTGTGGGCACATCCCCAGTAGGGGGTGCGCAAGAGGCAGCTGGTCGATGTTTCTCTCTTATCAATGTTTCTAGCTCTCTATCCCTCTCTCTTCCTCTCTGTAAAAAATCAATAAAAATATTTAAAAAATAAAATAAAATAAAAAACTGGTCTGGTTGCACAAGAGAAACATAGCTGTTACTGCTCCTGCGAGAAATACGAATTTTAGAGATTTGTTTCTTATAAAATCTTCAACACAGAGGATGGTGCTTTTAAACTCTGCCTGCAAGTTCTTCAATGCACCTCCCTCCAAAAGCTGGAGCCTGACTCCTCCCGTCTTGAATGTGGGTGGGCCGGGCTTAGCGATTGGCTGCTGAGGAACACATAGCACAAGCGCTGAGTAGCTTCCAACACTGTTAAGAGAAAGAATAGATTCTGCCTGGCCCTCTGGGTCTCGGGTTACTCTCTTCTTCCTTGGGTCAGACTAACCTGATTTTTGATAAACCCATTCTTTGTTTAGATTTTAAGGACCTCAAAGAGGTTACTGTCAAGGCTTTGCCCATTATCTCCTCCGCCCTTCCCTCCCCCCCCTCCCCCCTCCAACCCACACCTAAAGCACTTTGCTTATCTCTGCTGGAATTCATTGTCAGGGTAATATTTGAGGTTTTCAAGGGCTTTCAAGTCTTTTAAGAAGACACATTCTCTTTGCATTAATTATTCTCACTTTTGCTCCAGGAATTACTGGCTCCGTTAACAGCTGTGCCTGAAAGAAAGTGAAGGTCTGGAGAAAGCAGCTCCACTTGCGGTAAGAAATATTCTCCCCAGGCTCCTGGAGGGCTAGGAATAGAACCTGAATACGGGCCCGTGTATGCAGATGTTTATTAAGCAGCCATGAGCCTGAGGCACAAAACAGTTCTGAGCAGTAAACTCAGTGATGTCCCCAATTTGATCATTTTGGCAGGTGGACTGGCCACTATTACAGAAGCAAGATTCTGTTGGCCTTGTAGCTCTTATCAGGAAACTTGGAACCTCAGAGTTCATAGCTGGAAACGGGACCATTTAGAAGTTTAGCCTATAATGTTATTCCTCAAGGAAGTCTTCAGACCCGCTAGGGTCTTCTGTTTTGTTCTGGTTTGGTTTGGTTTTTAGGTTCTTATACCCTGTCAGGACAAGAGTGAGGAGAGTCTCACAGATTTTAAATATCACCGACTTCACCAATATGAGCCCATTTCTAACAAGCTCCTCATTTCACCACTGAAAACTCATTTCTAAACTTCATTTTGCTGCTTTACTAAGTGTCTGGTGTTGATTGAGCTATGGCTAACAGAAGCATCTATAATAGTTGGAATATGGACTCTGATTATAGCTGATCACCCCTGGCCTGTGAAGTCCTGAGCAGGGTCATTGCCAGCCCTTAACACACACACACACACACACACACACACACACACACACGCTACTACACTAACTGCTGACCAGACCTTGTCATACTCTATAATATGATCACAGGTATTCATTGATAAATCAAAGAAGTAATGTACTATATATATATTTTTAATTGGTTTTTAAAATATATATATTTTATTGATTTTTTACAGAGAGGAGGAGAGAAGGATAGAGAGCTAGAAACGCCGACGAGAGAGAAACATCGACCAGCTGCCTCTTGCACACCCCCTACCGGGGATGTGCCCTCAACCAAGGTACATGCCCTTGACCGGAATCAAACCTGGAACCTTTCAGTCCGCAGGCCTACGCTCTATCCACTGAGCCAACCCGGTGGTTAGGGCCCACATCACTTTCTTAACAAAATCCTTTCGCCCAAAGAAATCACATCAGAGCCTCAGTGAACAAGAAGAATGAGTCTGGATCCCGGGAGACCTGGCCTTTCCCAGCCTAGTGGGCTTCAGCTGCAGCATCAATCCCCACAGCAATGACTCAGCTCTCATTTGCATAGCCAGAGTGGCACTGCACACAATACATTTTTAACTGAAAAGCCGGAGGTTTCTTTTAGGCCTATTATTTCAAAGAATGAGACTTTCCTTTACCCAGTTGATGAAAAGAACTGCCTCAAGCTCCTAAGCTAGCCTCGCCTCATCTTCTCCAGTGGTGCACCAGGAGTGGCGTTTCCTTAGCAATTGTCTCTCCAGCATCCGTATTGTCTTCATTCCTTCTTAAAACAGTCTTTTGCTTTTTATTAGATACTCCTGTGAAGAGCACACTGGTGTTTTGACTAGATATTTTCAGTTCTGTTGCTGCAAGGTTAGTATTTGCATGTAATAACATGCTACTTCTTTTTCTGGCATCTATTGTTCTGTTCCCCTGAAGGAAAGCCAAGTTCTCTGATTCTAGCTCTGTATTATATGACTTAAGTGGTAGCTATGTCTTTTCATTTCTTTTCATAGTTTCATTTTACTTCTTTTTTTAAAAAAATATATATATATTTTATTGTTTTCTTAAAGAGAGGAAGGGAGAGGGAGAGTTAGAAACATCGATGAGAGAGAGACATCGATCAGCTGCCTCCTGCACACCTCCTCCTGGGGATGTGCCCACACCAATGTACATGCCCTTGACAGGAATCGAACCCAGGACCCCTCAGTCCGCAGACCAACACTCTATCCACTAAGCCAAACCAGCCTCGGCTCATTTTTCTTTTTGAAGCTTATATAGGTAAGTCATCCTGTTCTTTTGGGTCTTGCCTTTCTTGCTCGACGTATTTGTGAGATTGAGTGTTACCTATTTTCATGCCTTAATTTCACAAGCATGCACTGTTAAGTCAATTAACAAAGAACACTTTACACTATTGTATTTATGTGCCACACTCATTTGATAGGGGCATACAATCTCGCTCAGTTCTCAGATCACATTTATGCCCTGCAATCTCCATTAAAGAGTTAAAATTGTCACGTGATATAGCCATTTTGTTCTATCTGGATTAGTGTCTATTGATAAGTGCAGCGATAGCAGAGAATACTGGGCACTTAATGGCTATTATGATTATAATGTGGATACTTTAGCAGTAACCAAAATTCTCCATTATGAATTGAACTACCATCTCTACTTATTAGTTCACAGGTTTAATTTTGCAGCTTTATTGAGAACAGGCTTAATTCTTACAGGACCTGGTTAACCTTGTTGAGTGTTAGCTCTAGCCAGCAGAAAGTGCTCATCATTGTTATTAGGAAAGAACAAGGTAGATCAATAAATCAGGTGGTCAAAAGTAGGTTTACAGTTGTGAGTACATGAAACAGCTTATTCTTGTATTATCCTATATAATAAAACACTAATATGCAAATCGACCGAATGGCAGTATGACCGGTCGTTATGATGCACGCTGACCACCAGGGGGCAGAGGCTCAACACAGGAGCTACCCCTTGGTGGTCAGTGCACTCCCACAGGGGGAGTGCTGCTCAGCCAGAAGCCAGGCTCATGGCTGGTGAGTGCAGTGGCAGTGGCGGGAGCCTCTCCTGCCTCTGCTGCAGGCGGGCAGTAAGGAGTGAGGGGTCCTGAACTGCAAGAGCCTCAGACTGCGAGAGGGATGTCCGCCTAGGGGTCCCAGACTGTGAGGGCGCAGGCTGGGCTGAAGGACCGACCCCCCTGCCCCAGTGCACGAATGTCAAGCACCAGGCCTCTAGTCTATATATATATATAAAAGCCTAAGCAACAATTACAACCAGATAGTACTTATGGCGCACATTGACCACCAGGAGCTGCCCCTGATGGTCAGTGCGCTTCCACAGCAACCTCCCATGGTCCCGCCCTCTGGCCAGCTGGACCCAATTGGGACTAGGTAAGACGATTGCCAGCCAGGCCGAGGGGCTCCACCTGTACACAAATTCATGCACTGGGCCTCTAGTTATTCATATTATTGTATTATTCCCTAAACTGGCAGTCGGACATCCCTCAAGGGGTCCCAGATTGGAGAGGGTGCAGACTGGGCTGAGGGACATCCCCCTCCCCCGCTGCATGAATTTAGTGCACCAGGCCTCTTGTTTGTATTATAACTGCAAACCTATTTTTGCCCACCCCTGTATATCAACACTACTGGAGGAGGGAACAATCCCATGATAAATCTGAGTCAGAACAGTCCTACTAATTGTGGATTAGAATGATCTTTATTATGGACAACCTACTGCATTTGAGTAGAAGTCTACAATGAAAGTAAAATGTGTTAAGATTTAACATTATTTCAAGGCAGTTTTAATTCTAACAATAGGAGCCTACATACCAGAAACTGAAATATTTGCAGGCCCTCTTTACCAGAATAGAATTTTTAGTTATTCAGGAAAAATCATTATAACATATCTTACCACTAAAAGTAAGGTTTATTTCTTCAGAATAAATATAACATAGTTTTCCATATTGGAAATAAATCAGGATACACTAAATAAGTGCTGTAAAAAAAACAAGTTTAACAACTGAAATCATAAATGCCTTTATCTAAACAAATCCCATAGTGTGAAGACCAGATAATTTGATGATTTGTAAGAAATATATAACTGCATGTGATCAAAGCTTGATTAATATAAAGGTTATCCAAAAAATATATACACACTTTGAATAATTATTCATTCCAATGAGTTAAATCTGAAAAGAAACACCAATTGAGCTATCAGCTGTTAAAAGTGTGTGTGTTATACTCTGGTTTCTCTTCAGATCGCATAAATCTTTCGCCTTTTAAAAGTGTGTGTGTATGTGTGTGTGTGTATGGACACCCTGTATATTTGTCATAATTTTTGGGTATTGTAACATGCATTCTTAAATTTTTTCTTATCGATGTATAGAACCACTTATTAAAATGGCCTGTTTTCTTCTAAATAAAACTGATTATATAAACTTTTGATTATATAAAAATTTCTACCACTTATAATTTTAAAAGCCGAAAACAAAACTTGCTAAAATTAAACTCAACTATTTTATAGTTGAAAAATGTTTACTTAAAAAAGGAGAGAAAAAAATCTAGTACCAGAAAGAGCAACCCTATCAAATTATTTACATTATAGAAAGCACATTCAGAATCCTAGCTTTTACAGCAAGGCAGTCAAGGAAGCAAATATAATATTGCAAGGAGAATGTAATCATTCGTTTTCTATTGGTAAACCTTGAACATGTTCTAAAATCCTCTTTGTAACACTATTCTGATCGTGGAAAACCATCTTGGGTATAGCGCATCTGAAAGCACTGTGAGCACAAGTATAACTACTGCTTTATTTCCTAAAAGCTTCTCTAGCCTAACATTTCACAAATTACAAATTGAGATTTCCCCCTTTTGAGTATATACGGAAATTGTGAGATTGTACCCGAGTCTGCCATAGCTGGGCACAACCTCCTGCTAAGACTGGCCAACTCAGCTGAGGATTTGACACGCTTGCCACTAACTGCCAGAACCGCAACAAAATGGATGTTATTTCTTGTATCATATTGCTCCATGCACCTAACACAGGCTTTAAAGCAGGTGTCTTCAAACTACGGCCCGCGGGCCACATGCGGCCCGCAGAGGAGTCTGATCCGGCCTGCCAGGGTTTTTGGGCAGTGAGCGCAGCCGAGGTGTTACAGTAGGAATTAGTAGTTCATATAGTCCGGCCCTCCAGCTCTCTGAGGGACCGTGATCTGGCCCCCACTTTAAAAAGTTTGAGGACCCCTGCTTTAAAGACTCAGTTTGAAGTTCTACTACCTTTCAACCATCTCTGATTTGATTTCATGTGTATAAACATGCCACACAGGCCATGTATCCTTTAGAGCCCTCAGAGTGGGCAGCCCTGGGATGCCACCCAGCAGCTCAGAGAAACGTCTCAAACACGTACATTGTTTCTGAGAGCCTCGTTTCTGTGCTTCGTAGTGTCACCGTTTTCCTTAGAAATGTGCAGATGAGAAGCCTCTGATGTCACAGGATTCTCTGTGTTCCTCTTCCTTCGGCAGTGTGGAAAGGGAGGTGGGCAGTGAGTACCGACTGGTCAGCAGAGGAGGCACTTGTAACTAGAAAGATACTGTCAGCCAAGCATGACAGAGGCTGGGCAAAAGTAAGAAGCACCAGAATCCTCAGCTGCATCAGCGCATGAGTCCAGCGCTGTTCACCCCTACAGACCACGGTAACCTCCAGCAGGTGTGGGGCCTAAGACCCTGCATTTCTAACCAGCTCTCAGGACAGGCAGCTCATGCTGAGCCAGTACTGAGTAGTACAATCCCCTTAGTGTGATGAAGTATGTGCACATTTGAACATTCTGTGAAGTTTCTGTGTTTATTACGCTCAGTGTACTTTGTTGGCTAAGCCCTAGGCATGTAATACTCAGAAAATTTTCCACTGAACATGGTTACAAATTATTTTGTCCTTTAAAAGAGTAACACCTCAGTTACCTGTATAATTTACAAAAGAACATTTTACTCTTTGAGGAATCCATAAAAATATAGCTTATTTTTATGCTGTGTATAAAGTCTTAATTTATCCTTTTATTTTTCACAGGGCAATGTACAATCAGGTTGTTTTTAAATGAAATGAGTATCACATAAAATTGACAGTAACAACAGTAACATTCTATTATCATTTTAGGTTTTTAAGTTTCTCTGAAACCTTTTTCGCTATTTATTCAACATTCATCAATAAGAATTTCAGAGCATATACTAAGAGCCAAGCACTACCATATCCTGATCTGCTGACATCTAGGATTTTAAGCAATTTAAAAACATTTAGCAAGTGTCTTTCCCTCCAGTAAACTCTGTTTAAACAAATAAACCGTTTCCTTTAATAGGATTATTTCAGAAATTGCCAATTATCATCTGTGAACCCAAACTCATAATCACCGACTGTGGCACCAGTGGAAATCTCTTGATAATGAGTCTGTGAGTTTATTTTTCAATCCTCACCTGAGGAGACATTTTTCCATTGATTTTTAGAGTAGAAAGGAGGGAGAGACAGAGAGAAGCATCGATGTGTCTTGGTTGCCTCCCAGGTAGGGGATCCAGCCTGCAACTGAGGTACATGCCCTTGACTGGAATCGAACCCAGGACCCCTCGGTCTGAGGGTGAGAGGGCAGGGCAGAGTTATCCCTATCCCTCACCCAACCAATCAGGGTTAGCCGAGGCAGTGACATCACCACCGACCTGAGTAAAACCCCTGGACTGGGCGAAATTCGCGCTCTTCCGCCATGCTGCCGGCGTGGGTGGGACAGAGCCCATGCTAGCATGGAAAAGGCTCTTGTTTATTGCATCGGACTCGGCTCCCTGGTGGTCCTTGGGGATCACGAAGTCTGGGCGTAACAAGGGCCAACACTCTATCCACTGAGCCAAACCGGCTAGAGTGAGTATGTGAGTTTATTGCTACAACTGAAGTCATCCTAGCTGAGGACAGTCTGGCTCGTTCACACATGTGTATCCCAAACTACAAACATAAGGGTAATGAGCACTTGGACCCACACTCAGTGCTCTCATTGACTATACATTTGTCAGAAGACAACAGACTAATTTTTATGGGGCCAAGAATAAAAATATGCATCTTTTTCTTATAAAGAATTGTCTTGCCGAGACTGGTTTGGCTCAATGGATAGAGCGTCGGCTTGGGGACTGAAGGGTCCCGGGTTCGATTCCGGTCAAGGGCATGTACCTTGGTTGCAGGCATATCCCCAGTAGGGTGTGTGCAAGAGGCAGCTGATCGATGACTCTCTCATCGATGTTTCTAACTCTCTATCTCTCTCCCTTCCTCTCTGTACAAAATCAATAAAATATTAAAAAAAAAAAAAAAAGAATTGTCTTAATTCTATTCCCCTTTATGAAATAAAGGCTCCTTGAAAAATATGAAGGGTTCGGGAAGCAAATGCCTTGGGGGTTCAGCCGCCATGTTCTTTTAAAGTGACCATCTTCTAGTTTAGCAGAATGCAAGTAGGACTGATCAATGAAGTATTTTATAAGGACTGACAGTTTAATTAAAACAAACAAAGCTATTTCTATGTGGGGACAATTTAAATAAGAACGAGAGACTTTAAGGAGATAAGGCTTTTTTTTTTTTTTTTTAGATTTTTTTTCATTTACTTTTTTTTTTTTTTAAATATATATTTTATTGATTTTTTTACAGAAAGGAAGGGAGAAAGAGAGAGAAAAAAACATCGATTAGCTGCCTCCTGCACACCCCCCATGGGGGATGTGCCCACAACCAAGGTACATGCCCTTAACCGGAATCGAACCTGGGACCTTTCAGTCCACAGGCTGATGCTCTACCACTGAGCCAAACCGGTTTCGGCAGGAGATCAGGCTTTTGATGGTCATTAATACAAAAAGGATGAGAGGCCCTGCTTTTTATAAAAGCCATGATGTAAAATTTAGGAAAGCAGTATTATTACATGTGGTATAGTTACAAAAAAATGAGAAGGAAAAGGCCCCAGAGAAAAAAATATTTTGCACAGTGCTTCTTGTCAAATTGTGTGATTTAAAAAAAAAAATTTTTATTGACTTTTAGAGACAGAGGAAGGAAACGGAAGAGGAAGAGAGAGAGGAGGTAGGGGATGGGGGGGGGGGAGAGAGAGAGAGAGAGAGAGAGAGAGAGAGAGAGAGAGAGAGAGAGAGAGAGAGAGAGAAACACAAATGTGAAAGAGAAACATTGATCAGCTGCTTCTTGCACGCCCCCTATTGGGGATGGAGCCTGAGAAATCCAGGCATGTGCCCTGACCAGGAATCTAAGTGACAACCTTTCGGTTTAACTGGACGATGGGCAACCAGCTGAACCACACTATCCAGGGCAAATTTCTTGATGTTTATGCCTTTAAAATCAACATGAATATTTTATCTTTTAGCCTCCAGATGGGATTGTAGAAAATACTTAACAAGAAAACAGTTCCAAAAGTGCTTCCTCTTAAGTTCTTTGGTACTATTTGATAATTTTGAGTTATCAATCCATTAAATACTTTAACATAAGAGTTATCAACAAAAGTGCAACAAGAAGTACAAATGTTTAGAAAATCACAATTGAAGATTTTGATCTCAAGGAAACAGAATTCTAAAATTTTACTTGTGTTTCTGTAGCTAAGATATCAATATTGACCCTAAGAACATCATCTCTAAATTTATATTAAAGAAATATTACATAAAACATCCCTTTTTAATACTTAGGATAATTGTTCTATATATCTCTTAAAGAAGAGGCAAGTTTCAATGTGAAAAAAGAATAATTTTGAGCTTGATAGTTATACTCTTTTGTGCCTTTTGATTCAGCGAGGGTTACCAGCTAGAATTTAATGTCAGTTACAGAATGTTAAGGATTCTTACTTAAGTAAACAGTTAATTATCTTCCTGCAGCAATTTCTCTATTTCTTTATCCCAGTTTTCATCTCGTTTCTCTGATTCTGCCACCACTTCATATTCTTGAAGTTCCTGCTGTAGTTCTTTTTCCCAATCTGTAGAATCCTCTAAAAGAAACAGATGAGAAGGAAGAAGATTCTCTCTGAATTTATCATGTTGGCTTTAACAATTCAGTCAGCTATAATTACATTACCTGTGGAAGTTCTAGCCATGATCATTTTGGTTATCTCAGGCTTCCTTCATAGTAAAGAGAAATTATCAAAAGATAATCTTATTGCCGAGACCGGTTTGGCTCAGTGGGTAGAGCGTCAGTCTGCGAACTGAAAGGTCCAAGGTTCGATTCCGGTCAAGGGCATGTACCTTGGTTACAGGCACATCTCCAGTAGGGGGTGTGCAAAGGCAGCTGATCGATGATTCTCTCTCATCGATGTTTCTAACTCTCTATCTCTCTCTCTTGCTCTCCGTAAAAAAAAAAAAAAAAAAAAAAAAAAATCAATAAAATATATATTTAAAAAAAAAATTTGTTAACTGTAGAACCAAAGGTATCGGATGTTCTCAGTAGATTGGGGGTATTATTTCACTTTACCTAGACCTCTGCTTTTCCTTCAATTTAACTGGATAATTGATAATATTTGGTTGCTAATTAATTTCTACCATTAACAATGATAATGATAGCAAAGACAGCGAACATTTCCTGAGCACTTGCTAAGTTAGGCACTGCACTAACCATTCTCTACATATCACTCTTTTTTTCTTCCTTAGAATAATCCATGGATTAGATAGCACTGTTAGGTACATTTTACAGATGGGGAAATGGAGATGAGAGGTGAAGGGATTTGCCCAAGATCACACAGCTTGACAGCAAGATGCACGTATGGTACCAGATGTGCGGGTTCCACAGCATGTGCTTCACCACTTTAGCAGCAGTCTCCCTGCAGCAGGGGTGGGGGACGTCTGGCCCGCGGGCCGTATAATAAGGCCCGCAAAATCATTTGATCTGGCCCTGCCAAGGCAACCGCAGGTAGGACTGGAAATTCAATAAATCTAGGAGCTTTTCTCATAGCAACATAAATTTAGTGAATTATTTTAAGTGAATGATGTTATAAATATCCAAATGGCCTGAGAGTGACAGGAAGCCAGGCGATCTCTTGCTGAAGCCTGGCCCCTTGTGTAGGCTCCATCTGAGCTCTCACAATTGTTTTCCATGTTGAGATGTAGAGCTGCAACTTTCCACTTGAACATTCAATATACTTGTGTGTATGCGTGTACCTATGTGCATATGTATGCAAAGAACAAAGCATCTGCAGTGCAGTGTTATAAAACAGGGTGTAACTGTCCTTGAGGAACTTACAATTGTGCTGGGAGCCAAGACTACTGTAGAGAGGAATATTAAGTGGCCCAAATTACAAGTAGGGCAGGGATTCAGAGAAAGAACAGCTCTCTGGAACAGCCAGGAGCCAGCCTTTGAGAGACGGGCCAATTTTTTGGCCGGTGCTCTCTGCACAGCCTATAGGAACAGCCGATTCCCTGAATTTTAAGTCTCAGAAGGCTTCAAGGAACAGTTTTCATCTAATGATGGGCCCAGGCCTTTGCCTTTTTTTTTTTTTTTTTTTTTAATGAAATATTTTTAGTTGATTTTTACAGAGAGAGGAAAGGAGAGGGAGAGATAGGTAAACATCGATGAGAAGGAAGACATCGATCGGCTGCCTCCTGTACACCCCATACTGGGGATCTCGCTCACCACCCAGGCATGTGCCCTGACCGGGAATCGAACTGGCAACCCCTTGGTGCATGGGTCGACACTCAACCACTGACCCACACCTTTTTTTTTAAAAACTACTTTAGTATTTTAGAGGCAGCCTGCTTCTTCCCAGAAGCGATGCTTTTGTGGCACACTGCAGCTAGTAAAAGAAGCTTCTAGAGAGAAGCATAAACCTAAGGAGGATGCCTGCTTTTAAAGCAGAGCGCCAGAGGGCAACATCTCCATGTGACAGGTGTACTTGTTTCTCCTCCAATCCTCGGGCTGAGAGGCCTGGGATGCATCACCGGGCCTGTTTCTCCTCTCTGAGCTTCTGTGCGTGATTAGGGGAGAGGGGTGTGAGATCTGGTCGTGTGTGCTAGAATCCTTCCTCTAGTGAACAGAGAAACAATTCCAATGCAAAAGTTATAGCATTTTTAAAATATATATATTTTATTGGCTTTTTACAGAGACGAAGAGAGAGGGATAGAGAGTTAGAAACATCGATGAGAGAGAGAATCATTGATCAGCTGCCTCTTGCACACCCCCTACTTGGGATGTGCCCGCTACCAAGGTACATGCCCTTGACCGGAATTGAACCCGGGACCTTTCAGTCCGCAGGCCGACGCTCTATCCACTGAGCCAAACCGGTTTCGGCTTACAGCATATTTT